TGACAGGGCCGGGCATGTCCGGACTTGTCCAGGGACAAACCTCAAGCTTCGCGCCTAAAGACAATGGGCCAGGAGGATCCTAGCCCGCCCAATCAGAGGGCTAGTTCCCAGACCGGGAGGCCAATAGGTCTCTCGGTCACTGTAAATAGCCTATCGGGAAGTGGTGTGTGTGTTGTGGTGGTGGGGTTCTGAGGGAATATTAGCCGGCCTGCGAGCCAGCCAAAGTGTCTTGTTCCTGACTGAATAAAGTATGCTTTGCTGAAATCACTCTCTGTCTGCATACTTTTCACTGGCAACGAAGGTGGGATCTTCACTCCCATGAACAACGACCTGGACGCAGGTTCGAGCACCGCATCAAGCCCCAACGCCGAGACCGCCACAAGCCGCCCCGCTTCGCACCCCGGTTCTCCGGCTGTTGCTCACCGCTCCACTCCTTGCTCTGTAACTCGCCCTGCTGACCTCGAGAGCAGCAGCGCTTTCCGCGATGCTTCAGTCGCCGCTGCTGCTTCAGAGATACCCCAACCACGTGGCCGCCGCACAATGGCTACCAACCGGGGCAACATCGCCGCCTTCGATATCTCCCGCCCCACGGAATGGGAGACCTGGCTCGAGATCCTGGAAAACTACTTTGATTGCAACGACATTGCGGATGAGGGGAAGAAGAAAGCTCATCTCCTGCAGTTGTGCGGCATGGACACCGTCCTATTACTCAAGGACCTCATTGCACCGAAGAAGACAAAGGACGAGCCCTACCCCTTGCTGGTGAAAGTGTTGACCGACCACCTTTCGCCTAAGCCCACGAAGTTTGCCGAGCACATGGACTTTTGTACGAGGGTACAAGGGCCGGATGAGCCGGCCTCCGAGTTCTTGGCCGGGCTCAGGCGAGCGGCCACCAATTGCTCCTTCCCGCACCTAGCGGACACCCTGTTTACCCAGTTCCTTTTGGGTCTAAGAGAGCCCAAGCTCCGCCGGAAGCTGGTCAGCCAGGACGACCTGGACCTGGATAAAGTGATCCAGAAGGCTACCACGTACGAGAAAGCCCATCAAGACCGCCGCGTCAAGGCGGTCCACCGCACCCAAATGACTGTCGGCTCTGACGCCTCGGACGAGGAAGAGGTTCTACAGGTCCGCCCGCTGCATTCGTCCTCCAAACCGAGCAAGGCTTCGACCACGTCAGCTCCGTGTGCCAGCTGTGGGGAAGGCCATAAGCGCAGATCGTGCCGTTTCCGAAATGCGGTCTGCTGCGCCTGCAACAAATCGGGGCACATCACCAGGGTCTGCCGCTCCAAGGGACAACACCAGATGTTGACAGCACACCAGACCTCACCGGACCAGCCCGTCGACCTCCACTCCGTATCGGCCCACTTTCCGCAACAACAGGTCTTTAATTTGCCCCTGATGGCCCCAACAAGATGCATATCACAGTTCTTATAGAGGGGTCCCCCTGCAGCATGGAGATCAACACGGGGTCGACCTACTCCATCATCTCTGTGGATACGCTCCGCACACTGTGCCCCCGGGGGGGCCCTCCCCTGCGGAAGTCACGGGGTTTTCAGTTACGAGACTTCAATAAGAACCCCGTGGTGGTGCGGGGCTGGGGCAAGTTCCAGGTGCAGTTCCAGGACTTTAACGGAACCTTAGACCTGCTGCTGGTGGATAGGCCTCTCTCCAGCCTGCTAGGACTCTCTTGGTTCGAGGCCCTGGGACTCTCAGTAAAGGGAATCCATCAGGTCGGGATGTGGGACTTTGGCACGGTGTGCACGAAATTTCCTCGCGTCTTTGATGGCACACTGGGGCGGTTCACAGCCCCCCCATATCACTGGACCTAGACCCAGCGGTACAGCCCATCCGCATCAAGGCCCGACTACCGCCAATAGCAATGAAGCCGAAGATTGAGGCAGAACTCGACCGTCTGGTGGAACAAGGGGTCCTAGAACGAGTTGTGTCAGCCCAGTGGGAGACCCCCATAGTCACCCCAGTTAAGCTGAACGGGGAAGTACGCATTTGTGCGGACTACAAATGCACAATTAAGAAAGCCCTGCAGGCCCACGCGTACCCAGTGCCTGTAGTGAGCCATGTGTTAGTGGCTTTAGCGGGGGTGCGGGTGTTTGGCAAATTAGACTTAGCCCAGGCATATCAACAGTTGCCAGTTGATGCCGCCACGGCCGAGGCTCAGACTATCGCAACGCACAAGGGAGCGTTCAAGGTGCACCGCCTCCAGTTCGGCATCTCTGTCGCACCCGGTATTTTTCAGTCTTTTATGGATTCCCTCCTAAAAGGAATCCCCGGAGTCCAGCCATTTTTAGACGACGTGTCGATCGCCACCCCGGACAACTCGTCTTTCGCTGACCGGCTACGGGCGGTGTTGCATCGCTTCAACACGGCGGGGCTCAAGGTCAAACAGGAGAAGTGTTTGCTCGGGGTCCCTCGTGTGGAATTTCTGGGGTTCACGGTCGATGCCTCCGGCCTCCACCCCTCCACGGACAAGGTGAAAGCCATCACACATGCAGCGCCCCCGAAATCCAAACCGGAGCTGCAGGCGTTCCTGGGGCTATTGAACTTTTACCACTCCTTTTTGCCCTTCAAAGCTGCAGTTGCAGAGCCGCTCCACCGCCTCCTGGACAAGTCGGCACCATGGGTCTGGGGCCTGCCGCAAGCTGCGGCGTTCCAAGCTGTTAAGGACCTGCTAATGTCGAACTCGGTCCTGGCGCACTTTGACGAGGCTCTCCCCATGGTGCTGGCTTGCAACGCTTCGCTGTATGTGGTTGGGGCGGTTCTGGGCCATCGGCTGCCAGACGGATGCGAGGTCCCGGTTGCCTACTACTTGCGGACCTTGTCGGCTACTGAGCGCAACTACGCGCAAATAGATAAAGAGCCTTGGCCATTGTAGCAGGGGTGAAGAAATTTCACCACTACCTGTATGGACACCCGTTCACGGTCCTCATGGACCACAAGCCACTATTGGGTCTCCTAGCCCCTGACTGCCAAACTCCCCAGATGGTGTCGCCCCAGGTGCTGCGCTGGTCCATTTTCCTGGCAGGATATTCCTACATCCTTGTCCATCGCCCGGGAAAGGCGATGGGTCATGCCAATGCCCTGAGCCGCCTTCCGCTACCCACCCACGACCCAGACCCGGCTCCCGCACCCCAGGTAGCATTGCCGGAGTCCCTTCCGGAGCAGCCCGTCCATGTTACAGAGGTGGCCCGCTGCACCTCCAAGGACAAACTTCTCTGTCGGGTCTTGGACTGGGTGGTGAGGGGGTGGCCAGTGACTAGTGGGGATCCCGAATTGGCACCCTTCGCTTCCTGGAATGACGAACTGTCGGCCCACAGGGTGGTCATTCCCAAGCCGCTAAGGGAACGGGTTCTCACCGCCCTGCATGAGGCGCACCCGGGGGTCGTGCGCATGAAGGCCCTGGCCAGGAGCTACGTTTGGTGGCCAGGGCTGGACAAAGACATTGAGGGGGTAGTAAAAAGGTGCCAGCTGTGGCAGGTCTCGCGGCCGGAGCCCCCCCGAGCCCCAGAAAGGGATTGGGAATACACCGCCCCTGGTCGAGGTTGCACTTGGACTTTGCAGGACCCTTTCAGGGCCAGCTTTTCTTCATACTTGAAGACTCCTACAGTAAGTGGCTGGAGGTGGTCCCAGTCTCCTCTACATCCTCTAAAGTGGCTATCCGGGCGATGTGGCGGATCTTCAGTGCCCAGGGAATCCCCGACACGCTGGTCACAGACAATGGGACAGCATTTACCTCAGCAGAATTCCAAGACTTCACGAGGTACTACGGGATCCGCCACGTCCGGTCGGCCCCGTTTCACCCCGCGACCAATGGCCAGGCGGAACGCAAGGTCCGCACAACAAAGGACGCCCTCTGCCACCTGGACTCATCAGATTGGGACTACAAACTGGCGTCTTTCCTTTTCAGCCAGCGGACTATGCCCCACACCACAACGGGACGCGGTCCGGCGGAACTACTTCTGGGCCGCCTGGCGACCCGGCTGGATCAGCTGCATCCCGATTGGGCATTGCCGGAGGCCCCGAGCACGGAGACGCACGAGGAAGCCAGGGGATTCTTCCCGGAAGATCCCGTGTATGCGTGGAACTACACCAGGGGCCCCGCATGGATCCCAGCTCGAGTCATCCGAGTTAAGGGCCCCAGATCATACGAGGTCTCTTGTGAGGACGGGCAAGTGCTACACCGGCATATCGACCAGTTATGCCGCCGGACGCTACCATTAGACCCCAAGGACTCGGACCTAGCCGAGGTTCCGGAGACCTCACAAAGGGCCCAACTGCCGGTGGCCGAACTGCGGCCTTCACCCGAGGCCAAACCTCATCCTCCACCCACGGGGGAACCTGAGGCACCTCTTCTGGAGGCGCCGGAAACACCGGCACCGCCACCCCTAACACCTTGCCCGGTCAGCTCGCCGCCAAGGGCTCCCGGGGTAGAAGCAGCAGTCCCCGAACCGCGCAGCTCGACCCGCACCCAGAAGTTACCAGCACACCTGAAAGACTTTGGCTGTGGGTGCATTGCGGACCAAGGGGGCAGGGGTGTAGTGTATCCAGCCCTGACAGGGCCGGGCATGTCCGGACTTGTCAAACACCTCAAGCTTCATGCCAAAAGACAATGGGGCAGTAGGATCCTAGCCAGGCCCAATGAAAGGGCTAGGTCCCAGACCGGGAGGCCAATAGGTCTCTCGGTCACTGTAAATAGCCTATCGGGAAGTGGGGTGTGTGTTGTGGTGGTGGGGTTCTGAGGGAATATAAGCCGGCCTGCGAGCCAGCCAAAGTGTCTTGTTCCTGACTGAATAAAGTATGCTTTGCTGAAATCACTCTCCGTCTGCACACTTTTCATCTACCCTCCTCAGAGGAGACGTGCCAGAGCTGCCTTGGGGAGCTCAGCAGCACCTGGGTGGCCTCAGGCTAGCTTGATCTCATCACATCTCAGAAGCTGAGCAGGGTTGGCCCTGGTTAGTATTTGACCACTTTAGTATTTGACTGCTTTAAGGACAGAGTCTGAGGTAGCCTTTATCATACACAGCAAAGAAGGGAGTGAGGGTCTCTCCAGAGAAGCAGCCGCCAGAGAACCTGTAGAGAAGGGCTGCTCTGTCAGCGTCAAAAAAGGCCACCTGCCCTCCCTCGTAGTTGAGAGAGACTCGGATCCTCTTCAGCTCCCCACACGGGGTCATGGAAGGGTTAATGCCCCTTCTGAAAGCCTTGTACCGGCCCTTATCCCACCCCACAGTCCAGATCCCTTCCTCAGGGGTAAAGGTGATCCTGCCCTTCACAGGCTTTCTGGCCACCCCCACAGCCCAGCCTTCCTCACTTCCCACATGGACTTCCCAGAAATGGCAGCCTGCTGTGAAGCCCTCATGGCCCAGCACATAGGAATAATAGTAAACGTTCTCAGGATCTTCAGGCCGGTCTTGAGCTTTACTGTGGCACTGAATGCTTCTCCGATCCTCAGACAGGATGACTTTGGAATCAGCTGTGGTCGGACCCAGAGTCACATTTGCTGTTGGAGAGAAACAAGGAAGGGGAGGAAAATCAGTCATGGAGATTAGCTCATTTACTGAAGCTCAACCAAAGATGCATAAATTCTGACTGTTCCCAAGGAAAACGCACCCGTTGACAGCTGTTTTTAAAGCAGCAGGTTTGTTCATTTTGATTTCACTCTTAAATTTTGCTCTGCATATATGGCAAATCAGCTGGAGCAAAAGTAGGCAGAACAAGTAGCCCACCTCCAAACACTGTATATAAACTTTAGCATTTTGGAGGACTCAGGGGAAAGGGAGGCAGGAGAGTACAGTGGTAAGAGAAAGGCACTCTGCACACTCTCAGAGGTGCTTTTCTTCCCATATTCCAAAACTTGGTTGGGAAGCTGAGCTCAGTTGATGTATTTGTACATTTGTGTGTGTGTTTGTGAGGGAAATAAGTGAACAGAGTTTAACAGTTTGACTCTCGAAAGCTGATTCCCTGAAATCTCATTGGTCTCTAAGATGCTTCTGGATTCGAATCTAGATGTTCACAGGGTGAAACTCTTCAACATCAATGAAACACAAAAAGGAAACCTCCTGACAAGCCCCTCTCCTTGTGAATGTTGTTCTCTATTGGTCTTCAAAGTTTACCTCTTCGCATCAGAAGCCCAGAAACTAGACCATCTGGGGAACAAAAAGGAACAGAGATGAACCATCAGACCATTGTTTTTATATCTTGTAACAAGACCAGCAATTCCAAAAAGTATTGGTGCAGAAAAAAGGCAACGGGGGGGGGGGGGGAGTGGGGCTCCTCCTTCCAGCTCTGCTTGCGAATACCCACATTTCTCTCATCATTCCCAGTTACTGCTTCTGTAGAATTTAGAAAACAAAGACACACAATTCGTGATTTGGAAAGCTAACACTTGGCTTCAGCACAACTTTGTGCCACGACTTTGTAGTTCAAGTCTGGGGTTTTTATAGTTCGATCCGGTGCTATTTAAGCCAAGGAAAGCTTTGGAATTCACAGGGTGTGGACACTACAGAGGGATACTCTCTAAATAGTCCCAAAAACCCTCAAGCAACCTGAGTTATTCACAGGAGCCAAAGGGACTATTTTGACAGATTTATTTTGGCTACAATCGTATAGCATAGTCAGCACACAGAAGGAAGGATCCCGTAAGCATCTTCAGTAAACCATCACCATCAACACCCTGGTTTTGTTACAGTAATTATGAACTTGCTCTATGAATATTCCCAAAATGTCCCAACCCACCCACGGTTTGCTTTTCTAAATGTTAGGTTTACATGAGAGGAGTCCTGCTTCTAGAGCGGGCATCGATTTTTCAGGGCTATCAGAATCGTTAGGGATTGTTGGGACCACAGAGGGAGCCAGACCATTGTGGTGTAAACTGAAGTACCATTTAAGAAATCCTCACACGAGTTTTAACTTTCAGGAAGGAAGAACAGTGTCTTCCATATCAAGTAAAGGATTAAAGCAATTGAGCTTTGATTGTGCACCAAGAACAGCTACTGAACTCGGCTGCTGGGTTCACTAAATGCCTCCCAACGGTGTAAGTGCAAAAATGGAACATCAGTCTACACCATAACCCAAAATTGCAATAGAAAAACTAGGTGAAGAAGAAGAAGAAGAGATTGGATTTATATCCCCACCCTTCACTACCCAAAGGTGTCTCAGGGCGGCTTACAGACTCCTTTCCCTTCCCCTCCCCACAACAGACACCCTGTGAGGTAGGTGGGGCTGAGAGAGCTCTTGACAGAAATTGCTCTTTTTCAAGGACAGCTGTGCCAGAACGATGGCTTGTCCAAAGTCATCCAGCAGCTGCAAGTGAAGGAGTGGGGAATCAAACCTGGTTCTCCCAGATTAGAGTCCACACACTTAACCACTATACCAAACTTTCCACCAAACTATTGGATCATTTACACCTTTATCAGCCTCAGGTTCTCTGATCTTGTTTTGGAGGCTTCCTCTTTCCCAGCCTCTCTTCTAAACACTGTGGTACCCAAGGTACAGAGATAAAAAAATGAAGGAAAATGTTTAAACATTCTAGATTCCAAGACCAACTTTGAGAACACTGAACTAAAATTGCCTTCTTGGCTGACGTTCTTCAGTGGCCCAGAGCTCGCCATTCACATTTCTGACCTGATGTAAATGACCTGAACAAAATCCTTGCAGCCATTCACTCTTACCTTGGAATCTCTTTATGACACTCTCCAGCAAGTGATTGATCTCACAGCAACCCCGGACCCTCCATTTCAGCCCAGGAGGGAAAGCCACCGGATTCACAAATGTCTCCTTCTTCTGATACCTAGAGAGAAACACTGTTAGTGGATCATTCATTCAAATCAAAACTCCTGAGAGGAGCAAAAGAACAAAATGGAAGAATGTGCAGGAGTACGTCCCTTGCCTTGAAAACCCTTTGAGGTCACTAGAAAGTTGGCTGTGACTTGACGGCACTTTCTGTTGTGTATTGTGTTACTTGTAAGTACAGAATGCCTGAGCTTCAGCCACAAGCTCCATTGACTCTTGGTATCCTGAAATCTGCAACAGGATTGGTCGGTGTCGGGAGACAGACCAATCAAGTCAGTAGTTGACTTTCATCGGGAACAATTCCCATTGGTTCCAACCACTCATATTTGATTGGACGTTATTGTTCTAGGGGGTGTGGTTTTCCTGGTTCAAACTGTATATAGTTGGGTCGTTCTGCGTGTTGTCTGTCTGTGTTCTCTGCGTTATGAGCTGAATAAAGAAATCACTTGTTGAAATGCTGCCTCGATCTCAGTACATAATAGTTTCCACCAACACCAAGGCAATGAAGAGTTGAAAGCGTAGATAAGCCACAGGCAGGAGAAGAAATGCAGGGAGCGACAGACATGCTTTGCCACATGCCCTCTTTCTTTAGCCAGGATGGAGGAGACGTAGGGTTGCGGCTCCCTATAACAGCAAAATGATCTCCATGGCTAAGAGAAAGGCAGTGTCAGAAATGCAACACCCCCCCCCCCAGCTCCTTCTCCCTTGGGAGTATCTTTGGAGGTGCTCAGTGGACCAAGGTCTGGGATGGACAGTCATCAGGGTGTTCCTCATTAGAAAGAACCTTCTGGCTAATCTACGTGCCAACCAAGTTCTTTAGCAAGAGTAGCCAAGGAAAGAAAGGCAGTTCTCAGGCCATGAGGATGGTGGGAGTGCCCCAATTTCCTAATAAAATAAAAATAAAACTAATAAAATTGAGTGCCTCAATTTCCTGCTAATTAGCTGGGTATGGGGAACTGAGGAAGACCTAGATGGACCACTAGAGTCTGATTTAGCAAGAGTCTTCTTATGTTCTTACTTTATCCTGCTGGAATGGTGACACCAAGCTCACAGAAGCTGAGGTCTGAATTTTGTCCCTCTTCTTCCTGCAGGTATTTAAAGCCTGGGTAGAGCCAGAGGCATGAACCCCTGGGTGCAAGCTGAAGGACAACAGACTCACACCCTGGGACCTGGGACAGTCAGCTGGGCAGATTCAGACCAACCCAGATGCGTTGTGCCTTTTTACATTCGTCCAGTTGGGGTTTTTTGTGACTTGGAATTTTCCTTTCTTTTGTGTAGACCACTTTGGGTCCCTTTGGGGAGAAATGCAGCCTAAAAATATTTTAAATAAATAAATTTCCATGTGAAATATTGGAGGATCCGGACTCCTACGTGCTGCCTCCTGGAGCTTGATGGCAGGGATGTCAACCTCCAGGCGGGACCAAGGGAACCCCCAGAATTATAGCTCACCGGAAGGCTGCAGAGATCGGTTCCCCTGGGGTCAATGGATGCTTCAGAGGGTGGACTCTGCAGCACAGTATCCCAACTGAGATCCCTGTCCTCCCCAGGATCCACCCCAAGCTCTCCAGGAGTGTCCCAACCTGGAGCTGAGAACCCCCTACCCTTCCACCCCCTGCCAGTGGCCAGAGGGGACTTGGCAACCCTACCTGAAGGCCACATACTTCTCACACTATCCAGACCTTCCCCATCACCCAGAAGGGAAATGAGTGAGGTCTACTTACCTCTGGAAAGTGCTTCTGACATCCTGGAGGGAAGAAAGAGAAAAAAGAGAAAACTCAGTGCTTTCCATGGACCATGATAGCACTACAGCCGCATAGAAGGTTTTTGCTGCACTGGGTCTGGAACATTCATATCATGTCATCCTCCAGTTGGCCTCCTTGTCAGACCTTCCACATGTTCTCCGGACATTCCTTCTCAAACTTGGGTTGGTGCGATCTTTCCAGAGACAACACAGTCTAAGCATGTCAGTACACCATCTTGAAAAGAAGGGGTGTGTTTCTGTAAGTACATTTGTACCCTTTTCCTTCTGTCCGTCCCCTGAGGCCACCATTTCCCTTTTCACCAAAGGACTAGTTTTAATTTGGTAATTGATGTCACTGTATTCCTTCCTTCCTTCCTTCCTTCCTTCCTTCCTTCCTTCCTTCCTTCCTTCCTTCCTTCCTTCCTTCCT